AGAAAGAGAGACGAAGAGAGAGGCAGGAGACGGAGGAGAGCTGAGAGAGGGGGGGGGGGGCAGGGGGGGGGGGGGGGGGGGGGGGAGGGGGGGGGAGAGAGGGAGAACTGAATGCAACAGAGGGTTAACAGATGAGGCCAGGCTAATTAGTTAACTATGTACTCGGGTACACATTAACATCCCTAGTTGATTTTACAAGAAACTAGGCAATGTAGACAATGTGACCACACAGTAATGAGTCCAGTCAAGAACAGAGTCAACACACTAAGCAAAAAACAAATATGTTTATTGTGCCCATACTCTGATTGAGAATGCAACAGAGGGTTAACAGATGAGGCCAGGCTAATTAGTTAACTATGTACTCGGGTACACATTAACATCCCTAGTTGATTTTACAAGAAACTAGGCAATGTAGACAATGTGACCACACAGTAATGAGTCCAGTCAAGAACAGAGTCAACACACTAAGCAAAAAACAAATATGTTTATTGTGCCCATACTCTGATTGACTATGTACAGTTTAGGAAAAACATTTTCATTTTACTAGACTAAATAAAAAACTAGGCAAGAATGTGCAATTCTGTTTTAGGAAACAAACAATTACAGTAAATTTCTCATTCATTTATGCAACATTTGGTAACAACTTCCCATAGAGTTCTCAAAGCAGTTTTCTTCTCCAGTTGCTATTTACATGATAATTAAACATCCATGGAAAGCCCAGGCCCTCTGCAGACAAGGGCTGCTCTGGTGGAGCCATGCTGGAGCAATCCTCACTTGGATCCTATTTAACCTAACATTTAAACGCCAGAATTCCACATCCCTAATTTAGACTAAGTAATTGTTTTTAGTATTGACTTTTAAGTTTTAAAATATTTTGTGCTATGATTACAAAGAAAGTAAGTAGTATGTGACTTCTTAATACAGCTGAGGTATTGCAGAATTAATCACAGCCAGAAGAACAAAATGACTCCTAAAGGAATAATGAAAATTCTTTAACAACTCATCTTTTTATGCTGCTGCATGGAAGAGGATACCATACTCTCAAACCCCCATCCCAAGCTGCATGGAATCAGAATGGTATAGCAAAGGTAGAAAAACTAATTACACTTAGATATTCAGGGCACAGATTTGTCTCTTACTATGCTCATGCACAAAACTCATCACCTGGCCTCCAACCTTAAGTAGGGCCTATGAATATTAGTATAATACAGGTTGAACATTTCTAGTCCAGCACTCTCTGGTCCAACAATATCCATGGCCCAGCATGATTTTAGTTAGCTAGATGTCCACTTAGGTGTGTGGCCAAGCTTCCTGCAGTCCTATAAAGTTTGTTTACAGCCACCAGTCCTAGCTCTCAGCATTCTGTGCTGTTATTCAGCTCTAATTTACCCCTAAAAGTGTTCAAAGAGTACAGTAAGGAGTGGAAGTGTCAGTAATGTTCCTAGACAATATTGACCTCCTATGGTTCACCAAATTCTCTGGTTCAGCAATGGTCAGGTCCCAAAGGTGCCAGACTAGAGAGGCTGAACTTGTACAAATAATAATTTCTGAAATTTGAATGAGTATCTTATGTCATAGATTTCATAACATCATAACAAATGCTACTCATTACCTTTCCAGGTGTGAGTTCACAGAAGACAATTCCAAGGTCATGAATGTGATGTAATCCAGTCACCAAATCAATACCAAATTCTCTCACCACATCTTCAGGTAAATGTTCATCTTGCGCAATAACCATTTCTAGTGAACCACCTGAAATTTATTTACACAGAATCACTTATGACAGTTGTGTATCCAGAAAAAGCCAGACCAATAGCCTATTATAATATTACATAGCCTCCTCAGCACTAAATGACTACCTCAGCCAGTTGTTTTTGACCTCTGGAAAAACTGAGGCATGGAAATATCACTCATATATACTCACTCTATATCAACTAGATCCAGACATAGAAACATGGAAAACATTTGAAAATAAGACTCAAGTCATATAAATTTGTCCATATGGATCGCTAAAATCTATAACAAGAGTTCATCATTAACATGAGTATTGACTACCTCTCTCAAAGAGTTCCTATTTTATGAAGGAGGCAGATAGTAGAAATGTGAATAAATTCATCAAAGAATAGATTACATATTTCAGTACTCAAATAAAATTCAAACCCCATATACCATTGTTCAGATTCATCTTTACAGCATGATTTATATCAGATATTTCACCTTTATGCAATAATCTTCAATTTACATAAAAATGACAGAGCAAACTAATCAACTTATAATTTTCATGAACAAATGCATTTGTTTAATTATGCAACACCACAAAATTATAATTATGGTAATGGCCACAAAAGGAAGCTAACATTGTAATTTAAAAAAAAAAAAAAAATCAGGATAATGTCACAAGAAAGCTCTTCTTCTGAAAATAAGAGGGTCTTTAACTATTTCATATTCAACCTATGGCCACATTTTATTATTAATTCTTTATTGATATAAAAATTCTGTTCTAGAAATCTCCTTTAATACTTCACAAGTACAATTCCTGTAAATGCCTCCAAAGGATACACTAGCTTTATATATAATTTTAATGTAACTTTCTAAAGAACAATTACCTTCAAAACATTTTAAAATCAATACATGAAAAAAGTTACTAACTCCAATGTGTTTTTTCAAGATGTGATGCAGACATGTAGTCAATTTAAGCATGCACACATCTAAATGGAATACAAATCTGTATCTATAATCAGTGGTTCCCCAACACAGTGCCCATGGGGGATGCAGCGTTTGGGTGGCCCTGACCCCGGGTTTACAGCACAGGGGCGTTGCAGGCCCCAGGTGCGCAGCACACAGGTGGTGGCGGCCCAGACCCCAGGCGTACGATGCATGGACTGTTCTGGCCCCAGCGCACAGTGTATGGGCAGCCCCACCCCTGGGCACGCTGCACAGGAGCGGCGCCGGCCCCGGGAGTGCAGCACATTGGTGGCCCAGCTCCCGGGTGCCCGGTGCGTGAGTAGCTCCACCCCTAGGCACCCGGCAGCCCCAAAAGGTTGGGGACCACTGATCTATATGAAGAAAAATTAATGTTAATGCATCTACACCATTGGAACATCTCTTGTGGTATGGTGCCAGAAGAATGAAGCTTAATACCTGAGCACTTTCTTGAAGTGCCAATGTACTGTGGTCTATATGCAGAGAAAGGAGATCTCTTGTAACGAATTTGAAAATATATCAAAGAAATGAAACAAGTGGGTTGAGTAATAAATATTCTGTTCTTTTACCTCCCACACTCCACAATTCCACTCCACTCTCTCCACAAGTGAATGTTAATACCATGAAAGAAGTTGGATTACAAGCACTGAAAATGAAATAATCTATCCACAGAATATATGCAATACAGATAACAATAGTGCAACTCTCCCACATTTCCCTTACCAGTAGGTACCAGCCCTAACCAGAAAATAAGACACTACTTAACATCAGAGGGTAGTTTACCTATTTTAGGAGATCAGCAACAAAGGTGTTGATTAGCATTACATGCAACAGCGGTCAATAGGATTATATCATGTGTGATATTTGCAGAATTATTGCAAATCAAGTGCATTGCAATAGACAATTTTTGCTGGTTTTATTACACTATTTATGATTTTGAATACGGGTTCTTTTGAAAAAAGGGTCCGTCCCCCCCGAAAGAACCCCATCTAGACTGCAGGTTCTTTTTCAAAAAACCCTTTTTCGAAAAAGCGCTCACGCAATTATGCAAATGAAGCACAAGATTTGCAAATCTGTGCTTCATTTGAATTTTCGATCTGCTTCATTCGCATTCCTCTTTCGAGAGAGGAATGCAGTCTAGACAAGCCCAAGGAGTGTTTGGGTTCTCTTCCCAGGAAGCCTAAGAGTTCAGCCAGTAGCTGGGGAGGACTGTTTACCCAGCTCAGGCTGACCAGGGTGCACTTACCCAATGTCCTAGCCGAGGGACAGAAGCCCAAATCCAATGAGGACAGGGTCTGTGCTGCAGTACCTAAACTACCTATGAGACTGTCAACTTTGCAGGGGTCTGGGGCCCAGGAGTGGGACTGACCTCTCCACAGACATTGAATTCCCATTCATTACGTAAGATAGCATCTCTTACCCGTGCATAATTCCACTACAAGCCAAAGATGATTGCTTGTTTCATACCATTCATGAAATGTTACTATATTCTTGTGTCTAATTTCATGGGTAAGTCGAACCTATAACAAAATATTAATATATTTTATTTGGAGAGCAGCATTCATACATTAGAGATTGAGGGAGGGGAATGCAATACAAAGTAATTCTAGATTTTTCTCCCTTTCGTGTTAGTTTTTCAAATGCCACCAAATATTTAAGAAGTCACATTCCCATTCAAATAAGAGTGAAAAATGTAGACGAAAGCTGCCTTATAAATATAAATAAGTCATATAAATTAGAGCTTCAAACCTATTTATAATTTTTTGGTAAAGAAACACTATCAAACATTTACAAACCAAAATTAATTTACATGAAATATATGTACTACCCAAACACCTTATTTTTTGCAAACAAAGAAAGATTATTTGCCAAAAGTTACAGGGTACTTGTATTTTCCCAAATAATAGTACAATAAAGTAAAACTAGTCACTACATTTATGACAGCGCTTATGATCAGCACAAAGTTAACTCCTATGAGCAAATGTGTTCACATCTGCGATAATAAAGGACTGAAATAAAGGAAAGAGATTTAGAAGGAATCCATGACTTCATACCTACAAAGAAAACTCATTTAAGGTAAGGGAGTTTGGAATCTAAGAACTTAAAACATCTATAAGACACACACACACAAGGTAGGTGAGATAATATTTTTTATTGGATCAACTTGTTGGAGGAATGTATAGTCTTTCAAGCTCTGCAGACCTGAAGAAGAGCTTTAACTAGAAAGCTTGCATCTTTCACCAACAAACTTTGATCCAATAATGGATATTATCTCATCTGCTTTGTCTCTCTCACATCCTGGGATCAACAACGTTATAGTTATTTGCATTGTTGTTGTAAAGTGTGAAAAAAAACTTTATGGAAAGTAATACAGACTAAAAGTAAATGTTCCGGTAGCACAAATATGTTTTCTTACAAAAAATTGTCCTACATTATTCTTACCCAGTTGGTTATCTCAGCTCTTTTGCATTTATCAGTGCAAAGAATGGCAACAAAATTAATGGTGCCTTTTCTTCTTCCTTTATAAACAATTGTCTTGCTTCCTCTTCCAATCTCTTCATATAGAATAAAGTTCTCCATGTTTAAGAAGCTTTAGATCCAGCAAATTAAGAAATAGGTTGTTTTCATCACTAACAAACAACACCTTAAAAAAAAGTAATACATATTTATGTTTAAGAAATTCAAAATAATTACTTTTAGTTCTTAAGATACAGCATTCAATACAAGAAGATGCCCTTCATATGATTAGCAATTATGACTGACCATACATAGTTTAGACTTTGTTGTGAGAGTTCTTGTTGATAATCAACATTTTAGACAAACACTAAACAAAAAAGTCACAATATTAAACTCCAAACTGCAAATTCTAAACAAAATAATCTCCACATGGGTGTCAGTCACAATGAAACCTCACTGTCTAAGTACTCCATAACATTACCAGCAGTAGTTTTGGTACTGCTACAGGTTCATCCACTCTGGCACTAGTCCTAATGGATACAACGGACCCCAGCAGCTTCCAGTGGTTTTTGCCTTATCTGTTAAAGCTACTAACAACCATTTCTTGAAATTCCCTCGTGTACACAAGGATAATGGGAAATTATTTGCTAACTGCGCTGTTTTGTGTGTGGAGAACCAAGGCAATTCCACATGCACTAAATTCTAATTTCCCCATCAATTGTATCATTTTCTCATTTAAAACCTAGATCATACAGAATTGTCACTTCCAAATAAATATTTATGATTTATTATTAATCCTCAATGTAGCAATCGTCAAGAACAAGATTTAAAAAATACAGCAATACTATTGGTGAGAAGTTCCTAGCCCAGATAACTCTTAAAGCCTTTGTACAGTATTGGGCCAGCTAAAAATCTTCAACAGCATCTACAGGAAAAAAAGGGGAAAATCAGAATTCTTGCCTGTGAAATCAGTAATAGAGGTTTTAGTTCTGATGAATAGATATATCTTCTAGCTAATCTGAATCCAGAGAGTAGCAATAGCTGCATTTCAGCCCCTAACACAGATGGGGGGGGGAGGGCATGGTCAGGGCCAGAAATTCCTGCTTCAATAGTGCCAATTCTGGGGCACAAGCATCATCCTTGAAACAAGGGGTCATATCAAGCAGCTAAACAAGCTATCCATATAGAATGAAAGGAATGTCTCACCAATGGCATTGGAGGATTTATGGTATGCTTTCAGCTGGGCATCAAAATTATCTGTGTTAAAGCAGCAAAGAAAACAGGGAGGAAAAAAAAAACAAACAAAACCATAACAGATCTGACCGGAAGGTAGGATTAGGAAACTAGGCTACTTAATGTGGTGAGCTTGCCCCGAGAACGACTGAATTCACAGTTCTCCTGACTCTGCTCCTATGAGGAGCTTCACTGGCAAGAGCGAAAAAGCACTATGAATGGTAAGCCCGAAGGGCAGAATTTATACATGCAAGAGCAACACATGTAGGTTAGACGAGATCTGGCTGACAGCCTACTATGCCACATTAAGAGTAAATAGTCTTTACCAGCTAAAATCTCAAAGGGGTAGCATAGGAGTCCTGTGACACATTAGGCTCGAAATCTGTTAGCGGTCTAATTTTTCCTAATGATCCCATGGAATCTCACTCTTGGATCTCAGGTCACCAGCATGAGGCTGGGGAAACTCCCTTAGCTGGTAAGACAACAAGGAGTCCTGTGGCACCTTAAAGACTAACAGATTTTTATATTAGAGCCTGAGGTGCCACTGGACTCCTTGCTGTCTTACCAGTTCAGGGAGTTTCCCCAGCCTCATGCTGGGGACCTGAGATCCAGAAGCGAGATTCCACAGGGATCGTTAAAACCAAAACACTACTTCAAAGAAGTCTACAATCATGTAACTAACCACCAAGCTGTTCCCATTTCTCATCTCCCCACCCCCACCCTCACCCTCATTTGCTTGGATGTGGCATCCCCAGGTCCCTCGTTAGCGCGTGCGCATTGCAAGCCTTTGGTGACGGGCTAATCAGCAAGGACCCCAACACCCCCTCCCCTGCGGGGCCTTCGGGTGCCAACATTATGACGTCGGCATTCAAACGCAACCGCCCGTCAGTTCCAAGTGGGGTTTGTTGTCCGAGCAGGCGGACGTTGCTCGACGCCCACAACAGAGATGAGGGAGGCGTCCCCGAATCAGACCGGCCCCTGTTCCCTCCAGCGGCGCCCCCCACCACGCTCTCTGCAAACGGGAACCCGAACCGCCACCGGGCTCTGGCGCGAGTGGGACAGCACGTGCAAGGTGGGGGGTTACCTGGCGCCGGAGGGGGCGGGCAGATAACAAGATGCAGCTGCGCTGCCGCCATCAACCGAAATCCTGCAGCCCCGCCCCCAATGGCCGCTCCATTGCGAATGGCGGGGGGAGCCGGCCCGGGGGAGCGGGCAAGGGACTCCGGAAAGACGCGCGCTGCCCCCCAGGAGATGCAGCGCGGCCAGGCCCGGCCTAAAGGAAAGGACGAGTCCTGCCGTGGGAGACCCCGAGCCGCTCGCGGAGGACCCGGCACCCCCTCGAATGAAGTGGTTTGAGCCAACCCCAGCCCCGTATCTAAGATACAAGTCGGACGCCGGAAATGGAAAAGAGCAGCGATTGGTCACGCGCACGGGTACGTATAAGGAGGCGGGGCTGCCAAACGCGCTTGCTTGCCGGGAAGATCCCGGATGTGGCGTTGGATAACGGTCTTTCTAGCTCTACGTTCCCTTGAGCGCTCCTTGGTGATCTTCGTCTCATTCCGCCGCGCCCGTTAGGGGCGCCCGGCGGCTCGTATGCTGGGCCCGGCGCTAGCATCCCCTGCCTCAGACTGGCAACCCTGCCTGTAGTGGGAACCGTGGAGCGGTAACCCCGGGACCTTGTTCCGACAGCAGCTCTACTCGTGCCTCAGGGCGGGACAGAGCCAAACTGGGAGCCCGGGGAAGCTGGAGAGAGAGAAAAGAGCGTTTGGGCTTCTGGTCTCTTTGGCCTGACCCTGGGGCTTGTCTTCATTGGCCCGTTGTAGCTCATGTGACTGGACCCCCAAAGCGCCCTAAGACAAGTTGTGCTTGTGGTAGTCAAAATCTCGTTAGTAGAAATGAGTTTGTAGGTCCTGAGCGTGACCCCGCTATGACACTAAACCTGCCCATGCCCTATTGACCCTCTTTCTGTAAAGTGGATCATCGTAATCCGCTCTTTCCTGGGATTGTTGAAAGGTCTTAACGTGGGTAAAATGCTTTGAGAGCTTTCAATGTGAAGCACTGTGAAACTCATATTAGTGTTCAAAATAGGTGTTCTTGTTTTTTTTTTTTTTTTTTTTTTTAATTCTGTGTAGTATAATTCTCTCTTTTTTTCCTCCCTCCTCCCCCCCATATTGGCAGGACTGCCTAACACTTTACAATTTACTATTTTCATAGCTTTGTCAGTTTCACGTTTCTGTCTCCTTCATGTTCAGTTTTCTGGGAAAGTTTGGTTCACAAGATATCAGCCATTTTTTTTTCAGGTCAATAAAAAGTAGGAAGTTTTAGCTTTGTAACGAAATACTTTTTAACCGTTTCAGGCTTCAAGGGCTTTGAGTAGAGCCTTGAAATTTGTCAGGAAGAGACCGCTGACAACAGAAGATTTTTGTTGTTCCCAAGAAAATCTTTTTAAGATCTGGCCCAGTTATAAGCAAAACATTATTTATATGTGCAGAGTAAAACATTAAATGCTTGCTCACATTTTTGAACATTGATCTTCCTGTTCTCTTGCACAGCACTTGCTCCCAACTAGAGATGTTAACTGTCTTTTATTTGTGAAAATGTGTAACCTCTGGAAATTCTAACAGTTACATGTTTACATGTGGGGGGGCAGGTAGGAGCCAGTGCTCAGGGGGGAGCTGGCTTTTAAGTCAGCTCTCTGTGACCACTGGCTACAGCCTGCCCTTCCCCCCCCCCCCCCACAATAAAAAGGCAGCAGTGCAGGGGGGTGTGTGTGGTGGGGGGAGGAGTCAGGTGGCTCTGCAGGAGCTGATAGGTACAGGGTGCCAGCTTGAAAGCCAATTCCAGCTCCCACCTATCGCCCTCACCCCCCCATGCTGCTGCCTCTATGGGAGACAGAGGGGCTGTGTCTACATTGGCATCCCTTTCCGGAAAAGGGATGCTGAGACACTTCAGAATTGCAAATCCGCAGGGGATTTAAATATCCCCCGCGGCATTTGCATTTACATGGCTGTCGCTTTTTTCCGGCTCGGGGGTTTTGCCGGAGAAAAGCGCCAGTGTAGACGCGATTCTCCGGAAAACAAGCCCTTTTCCGGAAGATCCCTTATTCCTACTTTCAAGGAATAAGGGATCTAATGGAAAAGGGCTTATTTTCCGGAGAATCGCGTCTACACTGGCGCTTTTCTCCAGCAAAAACTCCGAGCCAGAAAAAAGCGGCAGCCGTGTAAATGCAAATGCCGCGGGGGATATTTAAATCCCCTGCGGATTTGCAATTCTGAAGTGTCTCATTAGCATCCCTTTTCCGGAAAGGGATGCCAATGTAGACACAGCCAGGGTGTCAGGTGGCTCCACAGAGGTAACAGCGTGGCTATGTCTACACTGGCAGGTTATTGCTCCAGTACGGCTGTGCTTGTGCAAGAATCCGCAGAGCATCTACACTGCCCACCTGCTCTTGCGCAAATAAATTTACAGTACGGTGTTGGAAGAGAGGGCTTCTTACACAAAAGCTACACTCTTTTCGAACAGGTGTAAGCCTTCTTGTGCAGGAGCTCTTGCGCAATAAGGCAATGTGGATGTGCGGCAGGGATTTCTTGCGCAAGAAAGCTCTATGGCTAAAATGGCCATCAGAGCTTTCTTGCGCAAGAGAGCATCCATGCTGCCATGGATGCTCGTGCACAAAAGCACATGGCTGCGTGGATGTGTTCTTGTGCAAGAGTTCTTGCGCAAGAACCCACCAGTGTAGACATAGCTCAAGTGTGCCTACATGCATCTGATGAAGTGGGTCTTTGCCCACGAAAGCTTATGCTCCTACACTTCAGTTAGTCTATAAGGTGCCACAGGACTCCTCGTCGCTTTTGCAGATTCAGACTAACACGGCTATCCCTCTGATAGCTTGTATGGAGTCACCTTCCATTCTCCCCTGACTCCTACAGAGGCAGCAGTGCAGGGAGCAGGCAAGAGCCTCTGCCTCCGCCTCCACATGCTGCTGCTTCAGTGGAAGGCAGTGTGGAGGGAGGGCAGGCAGCTCTGTGGTAGCTGGCTCCCCTTGCATGCCAGCTCTCACCTGAGGCAGCAAGAGGGGGGGGGTGCATGTAGTTGATATGATTAACAGATAAGCCCAGGCTTATCAGTTAATTGTGTAATCAGCTATACACTAACATCCCTACTCCCAATCTTTATAGAAAAACTGTATTCTACTCTAATAAGTTACAGCTCTAAAGCTAAACATAAATGCAATAAACTTCACTTGTCTTCTTTCTTTCACATAAATGAGAATTTAACTGACAGGCATATGTAAAATGAATAAATAAGTAGATGTCAGCTAGTTTCTTAAACTCATCACAGGAAAAGAGGGCCATAGAGAGGGATTAATCTAGATTTATAATTTGTTGCCTCTTTAATTCCTAGGTCTGTTATAAATAGTGGTTATAATGTAAAAGAGGAAGCAGTGGTTAAATTATGGGACTAAATTTTGTTCCTGGTTTTGACAGTTACTATATGACATTAGAAAAGTAACTTACCTCTCTCTGCCTCCGTTTCCCTAGCTGTAAAGGACAAAAACTAAATCCAAATAATGCTTTTTCTTATGATTCTCTCAGAGTGTCCTGTTATACATGTGTTAGATAAAAAGTTTAGGACAAGGATTATCTTTATTTTTGTGTATGGGACAGTGCCAAATCCAAATGTTATCAGCACTTAATAAATAATTACAAAATGGGGAAAACAATATCTATGTTATATAAAGTTCTGTGAACCTCAATTAACAAATGTAAAGATTTTGAGAGCCTCACATGGAAGCTACTAAAGCAGTACAAAGTACTGTAAAGCAAAACAAAACAAATGGAAAGTTTGTTTTTATGTCATGTTTAGTTAAAGTAAATATTTTTAAACAGAGATCTTTAATTACAAGAATACATCCACAGTTAGAAAGCAAATCCTATCAAACAAGCCAGAGATTTAGAGTCTTGCAAAACAAATGTCTTCAATATGAATAAATACAGTTAGAGGTCTTGACTTGTACCATTATTCCCAAGTGCTTTTAAGATAAGAGGTTATGAATTTCTTTGCTGATGCAAACTTCATCACAGACCTCAATGCCTTTGCTATTTCCTGGCTGGGCTAGTGCACTTTGCTTTAGACTGGACTTTCTATAAACACCTCTTAGCAGCTTCATCTACTGCAGAAAGCAGTGGCCTTCCTGCTTAGTGGATTGAGCTGACAAAAACACATTACAGATGCAGGATTTTTCTGGACCAGGAGAGGTCATATCTGGCCACCTGCTACACCCCCCTCTCCACCATGTTCTGGACCGGATGCTCATCTCCCAGCAGGCTCTGCCTTGCCTTCCCTCCCCTGCCATTGGCTCCCCCCCCCCCAGTCGTCCCCCTCTTCCCCTCCTCCTCCTTCCCTGCTATGCTAGGCAGCCCAGCTA